GGTCGAAGAAGACAGAACACAAATGATGTCGGTCTGCGGTTTATAAATGCTGAAGGCTTTCCGGTTTGAGAGGATCGCGGAGTCTTCATTACCATTATTACCTGTATTACCGTTATTACCACCATATTACCATGATGACCATCATTAATCATTACCATGACTACCATGATTAGCATCATGTTGTCTGCCGTGGCCACTGGTTCCTGCTTGTTGCAATATACCGTTGCTGCTCGTCGACGCCACGCACTAGTAGTAGCTGCTGCCCACAGTGTGTGTGCTTTATGCTATGAGTTCGGACATGCTCCCAATGCTCCCACGGACTACAGCCAAGTTTGTATCTAAACAAGCCCTAGGCTGTGACATCTGACGCCCATCTTCAACACATCTTCGATCTGGGCTCGTTTTAGTCCAGAAGGGCGCTTAGATCAGCTTTTTCAATGCTGCCGCGGTTCTAGGAAGTCGCCGGTTCAGATGTTTTCTCCCTTTTTCAAAGATGGAGTGCCCGTCTGAGAGCCACCTCGCCTGAGGGGGGGCCTCACCGCAATCGCGGATGCAGGCACCCTTGCATGACGCTTTAGTTATGCGATATTTCCAAACATTGAAGCCCCAAGCCGTAAATGTAGGGGTCTTGTGGTTGATGCTTCGTCCATGCTCATGGGATGCTTTTCTGAGTCGTTCAGATGCGGGCCCGAGCCCCGGCAGGACTTCGCCGCCGCGGCACACAAAGCCCGGCACCGGGATTGTGATCGCGGAGCACGGCCCTGCTGATGTTGTAGATACTGCGAGCATCGGATGACTCTGCCTACGATCATGCTAAGGACGACGACGCCGGCGATGATGATGACACAGCGACGGCGCAGATGTTGCATTCTATGATGATAATGATGATGATGATGATGATGATAATGATGATAATGATGATAATGATGATGATGATGATGATGTCGATGATGATGATGATGATGAATATGATGATGTTGTTGATGTTGATGATGGCCGTGGTGATGTTATTAACGACGATGGTGCTGAGAAGGTGAGGTCGATGGTGATGAAGATGGTGTTAATCATGTTGATGGTGTTGATGATGTTCATGATGGTCGCGATGAGTCGACTAAGCTACTGTGGTTGTAGTTGCGGCTGTTTTATTGCTACCATTATGAGTTTCACCATCATGCCTCGGGAATTTCTTACCTTGGGTTAGTAAATAGTGAGTGGAGGAATGGGGTACAATTATAACTACTATTACTACCATTCCTCAATTCCCTACCAACCAAAGGTAAGATTTCTTCGGGTGGTGCAAGGTCGGATCAGCCGTTTCTCGGAGCCATCGAAGGCGGGTTTTGGCGCATTGGGGCTTTCTGGCTTCAGCTGCAGTGGTTGGAAGCTTGTAATGTAGGGGCCATAAAAATTCGGATAGGGCTTTTTATTCCAAGATAAGATACCCACATACCCTAGTCTAATTGTTAAGACTCCTGTATTGTTGCATTTTCGAGAGTGGGGTTGCGGAATGTAGGCTGTCGTAGCTTAAAGATGGCGATGTCGGGTCACAGGGCTGCGTGGTTAACCCACGGAAACACACTGGGCTGGCCAGCTGCAAAAGCGAGCTCCATCTATCAGTACTAAGCCTTGTCGGCAGCATCGATAGATTAGTGCACGAACATGCTTCCATGGCAATGTCCAAGGGAATCGACGTAACGTGTGGTGCAGAAGCTGCATCCTAGCAGGTGGGCTTAACGTGCAAAACCGCAAAGACCGTCAGTTGCGCTGCTGCTTCGTAGCAGCAGTAGTGCTAGTAGCAGTAGAACTGAGTCAGATGTTTTAAACGCCAAAACTAAGATCAATATTGCATAAGCTCCGCGAAAGTGATTTAGCTGCCCCTATCATCGTCCGAGCCTCCGCTCACACAAACAACCAAACTTGTATTGAAAATAGCTTTATACACCCTAGACCCTCATATCAAACCCTAAGAACATCGAAGAACCCTCCCCCATGCGAGAGTGCCTGGCTTCACCTTAAACCGTGCCGTAGGGTATACAACCCTTCCAGAACCCTTTCGGATCGTGAAGAGAAACTCCTACAAACCCTAAACCTTAAACTCTCCAAACCCAACTCCTTATAGATCCCTTATAGAACCCTATAGATCCCTTGAAGGAACCCTTAAATCCATAAGCCCTTAAGCCTTAAGCAGGACTCCGCAATGTTGTTCGACCACTTTGACCGCCAGGCGCCCCACAGAAACGGTGAATCTCGGTTTAGAGCGCCTTTTTAGGGTTTAGGGTATAGGGTTTCATGTTATAGAGTTTTGTAAGGGCTCGGTTGTTTAAGGGTTCATTTTTAGGGTCCTGTAAGGTTCCATCAGGGGCTCTGTAAGGGCCGTTGGGGGCTTGGGGTTCGAGGCTTTAGGGTTGCAGGGTTTCCTGGTTCGGTCCTTGGCCTTCATCGGCCCTTAGGCGTAAGACAGAATCGAGGATTCCAATCGAATACCCGCACACCATAACCCTATTTTCGTTAGTACCCCATACTCTAGCCCGAAACGCAACCCTCGGCAGTTAGACTTGGCTGCTAGATGTGTGACCTCAACAGCGTAGTAGCATGCTTTCATCCAGCGTCCACACCCCCAAACCCGAAAGCCCAATTCCCACAGCCCTGCCCCTAAATCCGAAAGCTCGAGCCTAGCATGCCGTCAAAACTCCGAACTCGATCGACCGTCGAAAGTTGTTAACACCTGCATCAACTCTCAAAGCCTCAGGCCCTGAACCACAACGTGGACCACGTAGACTTTAAAATGCTCAAACCTTCAGTTGAACCCTGTCCAAACACGTACCATCACTATTACTGTCATTTCCGCTGTTATGGGTCAGTGGTCATGTAGGGCTCGGTGGTGCTATTAATATTGTCATCCTGAACATCATTAGCTAGATGCCACTACCATAAAACATTTCCATGAATATCATTGCAATGCTCAGTTCTGTTGTATTTAAAGTTCGTAAAAAGCAACTGCTATCATTATGTTTCTTGTTGCTGTTATTGCTATGAGTGTGATTCTTTTGGTTATTGCTATTGCATTATTATTTTTATTATTAGTATTATTATTATTATGATTATTATTATTGTTATTTATTTTTATTATTAGTATTATTATTATGGTTATTATTTTTTATTTTACATTATTATTATTATCATTATAGTTATTGTGGTCGTTGTTATTTTTTGCCATCATAGTACTGCTGCCAAGAGCCGTCTTCAGAGGCCGAGATCCTATTTCGGCCGCGTTCCGGGCCGGATCCTCAGGACAGGGCGTTTGTAGCTAAGAGCTTATGATTTAGGAGCTGCCCCCACCCTGTAATAGTGGTATAATAGGAGTATAATAGGGCCCTAATATAATCCTATATAATCATCCTTATGGTCACTATTACAGGGTGGGGGCAGCTTCTAACTTATGATGTACCCCTAAAGAGATACTATACGGGTGCTATGATATAGGGGCCTGAATTATGACCAATATGGTTCCTGAGGGCTCCTTGTTATAACTATCATTATACCATACAGGAGCCCCGATTCTAATTATTAAGGCCCCTACACTAGATGCTCAGGGTTGGGGGGGCTCAGATCGGTTTGAGGCGGCAGAGTTCGGATAGGAGGTAGCTATTGGGTTGCTTATTATATTTATAGTATAATGGGCACCGCAACCTATATTACGTGGGGTCTTATGCGTGCCGTTGAGCAACGACTCGTTGTTTCAGCTGTCACACCAGTCCTTCAGACAGCTTTGAATTTCAATCTTGGCACGTCATGGCTGGGTCATGACATCCCTTTGCATGCGGGTAAGAGCTGCTCTTCTGTTTTCTAGCCTGGTTGTTGCGAATGCTTGCATACCGTGATGACTGTCGCCAAGATGCTTGTACTCATAGTAATGAACACGAGACAGCGGTGCTTGTAATCGTGACGGTGGTCTGCATGATGATCGGGATGATGATGTGGATACCGATGAGGATGGTGATGGAGATGAGGATGATGCTGGCCACGATGATGCTGGTATGATGACGGTGAGGAGGATAATGGTGATTGTGAAGATGACGGACGATGACGACGACGGTGATGTGGAGGAGGATAACGATGAGGATGAAGATAATGACGTTGGTGATTGGGAAGATGACGGCCTTAATGATAGTAATGGTGATGATGATGATGTTGGTGTTGATAATGATGATGATGAGGAGGAGGAGGAGGAGTTGGATAGTGATGATGATGATGATGATAATGATGATGATGATGATGTCGATGATGATGATGATGATGATGATGATGATGATGATGTGAAGGTGATGGTGATGGTACTGGTGGCGATGATGACGCTGCTGATGATGACGATGATGGTGAGGATGACGCTGACGGTGACGGCGATGGTTGTGAGGGCGACGGTGATGCTGATGTTGAGGATGAGGCTGAGGTTTTGTTGTTGACCATGAAGCTGACAGTGATGGAGATGGCGCTGTGGATCCCTTGACCCTTAGTTTGAAAAGACTAACGTCAAAGCGGCGGGTGCTGCAGGCTGTGGCGACTTCGAGACTTCTTCGAGGCACCCGGGCTCTGCTGAAGAAATATGGGAGTTTCCGAAAATCGGAGACCCTTATATAGTACCCTGAAAGTAGGATCCTTGTAATAACGACCCCAAAATAAGGTACCCCTACTTTGCGGAAACTCCCATATATGGCGATGATCGTGGGACCTTGGGTGGAAATTACTATAGTAGGATACGACTCGCATGAGGCATTGGGAAATAGAGATTAGAATGTTTCCTTCCGACCAACGTGAATATGTTCGTCTTCTCCCCCATCGAGAAGCCTCTACGTCAAAAGGGTGAAATAAGTGGGATCATTGTTTTATTTTGGGCAGTTGTTAATTTGGATTGTCTGACATGGCTCGAGTGCACAGGGGGACAAGATCGCGCAGTGTGATCATCGCTACCAGGCTACCAGGTATCTGAGCTGCACGACGCCATGTCTCCGCCACAGAAGGACACGCACGAGATCCTCGAGAGAACGAGGATGTGCAAGTACTGGAAGGCAAAGCGATGTACGCTTGGCGCCGACTGCAAGTTTGCCCACTCCGTCGCGGAATTGAAGCAGCAGCCGGATTTGGTGGCAACCCAGCTTTGCTTTCAGTTCAGTCGCAAAGGACGTTGCAAGAATGGAGAGGCGTGCAAGTTTGCCCATGGCAGATCGGAGCTCCGACGCTTCCCGAATGCGAGCGGCAATGAGACTGCGACAAAGGCCCAGAAGGAGCAAAGCGTGCGCAAAGAGAGCCACGAGAACCCGTCCATCATCCCTCCGGTCCTGCAGCCCTCCGGCAAGATTCTACGAGCAGGAGGTGAGATTGCAGGGCTCCCTGCTAGGGCTCTTGCAAGAAATATGTCACCACTTAGGGCCTACAGTCAGGTGTTCCTTGTTTTCTGAGCGCACTTGCTTTCTTCAGCCCAACAGCTTCTGCTCCCAAAGCATTAAAGCGGGAAACTTGACATATCCCAAGACCGCACAGACCCCACTCTGAGGTCAGGCGTGGTGCAGATTCTGCCGGGTCAACAACCAGTACCTAGGCCGTTCTTGAAATGGAACTTTCTAGAATCGGTATTAAAAGGTCATCTTCCGAAGGGACCACAAGTACTATAGGGCCTGAGTTATTGCCTACACTAATTAGGGGCCTCCTTATTACAATTAAAGTATGCTGGGTCCCGAAACCCTATTCAAATTATGAAGGCCCCTACTAGTACTGGCTTCCAAAGAGCCTCCATGATCCGCCCAGGTACAGAGCGATCCCGAGCCCGAGACGGTCCCAGCTCCTCCCTTCCGGGCCCCCCCGGGCTTGGAGTCGTGCTGGACGACCCCGTCGGCAGCCGCGCTTTTGGATCTCGCTGTGATGCTTGGATGTGCTTGAGAAAATCTTAGATCCCTAAGACCTAACCTTAAGCTTCTTAGGCTCTTATAGCTTAGTAGGAATCGGAAAGTTTAACCTTTTATTTCTGTGGCTTTGTTGCGGTAGTAAGATATTATATGTATACGGGCTTGGACAACTAAAACTAATGATGGTAGTGCTGAGACTGGTACCAACGGCAACAACTCAACTGAATAAAAACAGCAAAACAATGGCAACCATGCACAATAATAAGATTGACTGATGAATGGCACGAGCAGTAGCAATAGTCATAACAACAAGAACGGCAGTGCGTGAAATGGTCATAGTCATCATAGTAGCAGTCGTCGTCGTCGCAGTAGTAGTAGTAGTGATAATGAAGATAGAGCCACAAGCCCTGGAGTCCTGAATCTAGTGGTCACCAAGGTTCAATTCCATTGACACAATGTCGTTTGCATCGGCGCAGCAGCTGCTGTCACAAGGCTACAGGCATCGCAAACCTCCTCTGTCTCATCAAGGCTCTCTGAGGGTTCACTAAACCTAAACACTAATCCCTAAACTTAAGTTGGAAGACTGAATACTGGCCAACCTTGGTCGCAAAGATATTTCGACTACAGTATGCTCAAAAGCCCTAGTCCACTTCTTAAGTCTCCAATGGTCGAGCAAGTCATCCTCGGGTTTCTTGGGTAGTAGAAGCCCTCGGGTTGGTTTAGTGTTTGGAGGTTTGGGGTTTAGCGGCTTAGGGTGTAGGGCTCAGGGGGTTGCGGGCTTAAGGTACATAAAGGGCAAGCATTTCTTTATCTTGGAAGCAGGACGGGGACGGTGGTTGCTGCAGCTTTGGTGGGCTAATCCCAAGTTGCAGAAGGAATGAGCTACACTACCCCACAAAACCTAGACACCTATCCTATCCATCATGATCTTCAAAAGTGGTCAATAGTGCCTCGACGGTAATTATGCCCCAGGATCGATGGACTTACCCCTCACTTTGGACCAGAGCTCGGGCAAGAGCCACGACCAGGAGGGAACCGACAGTGCCTCCACCACGTGGCTTAGCGGATGCCCCTCTGACAGCGAACCTGCCAGCCCTACGTGCGGGCGGTTTTGGCTGTGAGCTGGGATCTTCCATTCTGCGCATGCTTAGGAGGTGGTGATCGTAGTAAGAAGAGTCATTGTATGATGATACGATAGTGAGAACATAATCGTAGTCAATAACTCGACCTAGGATACTACGAAGAGCAAAATCATATTATTCCGAACAGTAAACCCTCAGCCCTCTAAACCCTTTCAACCCTAAACCAGTGCCCGATGAGCATTGAGCCCCGGGTGGAGCCCGGGTTGGCGGCCTTGGCGTGGAGTGGGGCCGGACCACCCTTGACAGCTTCGCTGGTTCCATGTCACCCTGTTTTTCCAGCAGCACTGTAGCGGTGCCATTTTCAACCTGAGCCCTAAACCCTAAACCTAAACCGTAAGCATTGGGTTCAAGCCAAATGTGATGACAGAGTTCAGGAAACGGCATCCATTTTGTTTGTTAGCCGCGCTGTGACACACAGCCGATGCTTTTTGACGTGGGGGGTTGTTCGAAATGAGCCTGCGAAGAGAGCTTCGGATCGTAACCCGGTGCGATAAATCAAAATAATGTGAAGACGTGCTTAGGGTGCCGAGCTCTGGGCGAGTGATGAACAGCTCCTACTTGATTACAGAGCGATGGTATGTCACAAAGACATTTGCAGTTGGTATCTGCAAAGCTTCGCTTTCTGCTTTCTTGCCATGCACATCCCTCTTTTATCTGTTGGGTGCAACCCTTACATGTGCGGGGCAGATGCCCATGGAGCCGCTTGCACCCTCCTTTGCTCGTTGCATCACCGTGATGATCAGCGGAGTAGGCTGGCGCCATATAGCCAGCACCCGAAACGACGACTAAACTCTTGAGCCTGAAGCCCTAAATCGGAAACTCTATCCTTTTAGTAGTACTATTATTGGAGTATATTGGAGTAGTAGTAGTAGTAGTAGTAGTAGTAGTAGTCGTAGTAGTAGTAGTAGTAGTAGTAGTAGTAGTAGTAGTAGTAGTAGTAGTAGTAGTAGTAGTAGTAGTAGTAGTAGTAGTAGTAGTAGTAGTAGTAGTAGTACTAGTAGTAGTAGTGGTAGAAGTAGTAGACTCTATCCTTTTGTAGGGTGCTTCGAGAATGCGGCTCTTGGGTCCGATCTGACTCGAGGAAGGACGTGCCGACGGAGTCGGACCATGGAAATCAAGATCTGCACCCGAGGAAAAATTGTCAGCGCCGATTTGAAAGGGGGTCCCCGAGGGCCGCTACTACCACGATGATTATAAGGGGTGCTATGGGCTGTTTGAAGGGTGAGCCACAGATTCTTTGAGCCAGTGCAAGAATGTTTTTCAACCCCGCAAACAAGACAAAAACAACACCCGGCAGTGTCACGACACTGAAAACTAGACGCCTGACTGCAACCCTTAAATAACCTTGAATATTCAGAACTCTTTAGATTTCGCTCCCCTGATGCCAGCTTCTCGTCGCCTGCCGACAGCAGCTGAACATGGCCAAGACTGAGCCCAGCCAAGTTCTCAGTGCTCCAATCAGAATAGGGCTTGGGGGGTACATCGTAGTATCGTACAGTTGTAAGAAGGAGCCCTAAGGAATAAGAGCAGTCCACCCAAGAGCCTAAGCCAACTGCTTAAGCTGTAGTTGTGTGCTGTCAAGCCGGAGCTTTCCTGCTCCCAGCCTCGTGCCCAGGCCCCCGTAACCTCTCATCACAGCGGGCAACCTTGAAACCCTTAGCTGTAAACTTGAAGGTATACCCTAAGGCTCCAAAGTAGTTCCCTTTTTGGGTTCATAAATAGAATCCTATAAGGTAATCCCAAATTTAAAAAAGGAACTACTATGGAGCCTCTGGGTAGGACGAGGTTTCGGGCAGAGGACCCTGGGTTATCAGGGTGAGTGGAAGGTTTCTGGTTTGAGAGTGTAACGTATCCCGAATTTGCGGACTGTCCTCCTCATGCTGGAGCATGGAATCCTACCAACCCCTTGCCCAAGCCCGAGGGAATCCTGAAATCCTCCAGCACATACTCCCAAAAGGCGGGGGGTCTTGAGCAGAGGGTCCTCAGATTTAGGATCCTACAGCTCATGGTCTATGTGGCGGTGCCCGAGAAAGTGCCTGCAACAGAGCCTCCCCGCCTGAAAATGCAAGACCTAAGCCGAACACTAAGACTCCAGGTCCTCGACGTTGGCTTGGGATTCCGGGTCCCTCTAGTTGAACAGTTGGATCTGGGTAGTTGTCAACAAGTAGGGTCGCTTTTTGGGTACCCTAAATATTAGGTGCTGTATTATATTGGGACCCAAAAACGGACCATAATTTTGACAACCACCCATCTATCAGGGTTGCTTTAAAGGGATCTATAAGGGTTCCTTTAAAGGGATCTATAAGGGGGCTTAGGGTTTCTGGCCCAGAGCTTTAGGGCCTAGGGCTGTTTAGAACGTAGGAGACTTCTAAGCCTCAGCCCCATGAGGGGGTTTCCGAAATTTAGGGGTACCTTATTGTAGGGTCCTTGTAATAAGGATCCTACTATTTGGGGTGCTATGTTTGGGTACCCTATTTTCGGAAACTCCCATGAAGACCCGGCGACCCCACAAGCGCTGGAGGCCGCAGATAGTTCGCACTCTGGGAGGGTGGCTTCAATTCAACAGTAGGTTCCTAACCCACGAGCCCCAAGAACCTAAACCACACAAAGTCTGAACGCCAGACGGACAAGGGCCCATCAAAAAAGCAATAATACAGCAACACCTGCAACCTTTAGGAGCCTACCCAAAGGCCCCATAGTAGTTCCTCTTTGGGATTATTATAGGATTCAATATATTGAGCCACAGAAAGGAACTACTGTGGGGCCTATGGGTATATTGATGCTGATACTCACCAGAATCATCTTATCAAGATTCGTCCTAAAACCTAAACTTTCCTAAACCCTAAACCCTAAACTTTCCTAAACCCTAAACCCTAAACTCTCCTGAACCCTAAACCCTAAACTTTCCTAAACCCTGAACCCTAAACTTTCCTAAACCCTAAGACGTGCGGAGGCCCAGCTCTGGAGGGGGGCCTTCGTCTTCCCCGCTCTGAGGCACCGAGGGGTAAGTTCCTTTACGATCGACTCTGTAGAAGTGCGATTAGGGGTTTAGGGTTTAGCGGTTTAGGGGTTTAGGGTTTGGGGGTTTAGGGGTGTAGGGGTTTAGGGGTTTAGCGGTTTAGGGTTTATGGCGGTTTAGGGGTTTAGGGGTTTAGGGTTTGGGGTTTAGGGTTTGGGGTTTATAGGGGTTTAGGGGTTTAGGGTTTGGGGGTTTAGGGGTTTAGGGTTTGGGGGGTTTAGGGGTTTATAGGGGTTTAGGGGTTTAGGGGTTTAGGGTTTTAGGATTTTAGGGGTTTAGGGTTTAGGGGTTTAGGGGTTTAGGGTTCAGGGGTTTAGGGTTTAGGGTTTAGGTAGTAACTATACTCTAGTATACGATAATACTATGACATGCTGGAAGACTGTACAAGGTCTATG